GGGTCTTTGTATTTTCCGATGTCTTGTCTGAGGGTCCTCTAAAAAACAAAGTTATCACCAATTTTGGTTGTATAGTATACGAAAAAATGCAACGTCTTTTTACTGGGGATGATTCTAGTGCCTTGGTAGCGGATGATAGAAGATTACGGAGGGATGATAAAAAGGTGGCGGACGTAATGCCTTTCAAACGGGTTATTGACTGGAATTGAGAGATTAGGTAGACAAATGAGATATAATAAAGAATAAAAAATATAAAGAAACATAAAACTTGACGAAGAAAATAGATCAATGCGTAAGTAAAAACATAAACAAAAAGAGAAACATAAACGAAATATTAATACAATGTTTCTGTATTCACTAACCCAGAAAACAAAGAATAACGACGTGAACCTCTAACCTTCAACTATTAAGAACAAAATGGCACAACTACAATTCATAAAAAGGTCTTTGGAATCTATGAAGAAACAAACACAATAACATATACATATGGTCTCTGAATGCCATAAACAACAGTTTCGTGTAACGAGATTCAACTAGCTAATTAAACAAAGATGTAGATACAGAGCAGATAAATAACAATGAATAGATTAAACTCTTATGCCATAGTGATACCTGTGGTGGGGTGATAATTTAGACTCGGCATGCAAAAGTTGGATATTTTACCTGGGGCAAAAGCCTGTGATTTACTCTCAGTATTAATGACCTCAAGGTGAGTGTAAAATATGGGATGTGTGTGTGTGTGTGTAATATATTATTTTTCTCAATATGTATCTAAATATATCATCTAAATTCTCAGTAAAACAACGAAATACGAGATAAATAAAAACAAAACACAATGAACAGCTGTAATACGTAATTAACAATATTTTAAGATGTCATACATCTAGGTCTTTTCTCCCAGTAAGGAAACAAAAAATCACATTCATACGAAACCACCAAGAGCTTTTCCCTCACGAAACAGGGGTCCTCCCATATTTCCTTGACATTGTCGAGTGATATTAGTACATCCTATTTTTCCCAGTGTCAGATGATTTAGAGTTAATACGGCTATTGTTCACCAGCCTACAATTACCGACCTGAAATGTCAGACGGCAGGTGTGTAAGGTGTGCGTGAGTTGCCGGTGTCATTAATGCCGAACCAGAAATACTGAACTCCATGCTCTAACAAATATTCATATAACTTAAATATTTTTAGCTATTCATTCACATTCAATCAAAATCACAACCTACATGACATTAGTTAATTAGCTTTAATACATATACAAACGTAAGGCAATTTACATAAATACCAAAATTTACATACAAACACAAAGAAAATATCAAATCAAAACAAATAAACAAACAAAACACAAACTTATATACAAAACACAATACTAATTTTATGATATATAGCAAAAAGCATTTAAAACACTGCTATAACACATCTTCCCCTCACTCTTCCCTCCCCATACCCCCTCCTCATACCCCCTCCTCATTATTCCCTCCTCATTTCTCCCTCCTCCTCACCTGCCAGCACTCTCTACTGTCATCAAAAGGAACCTAATTTTGTGTAAGAGGGGGGTGAGGAGGGGAGTGAGGGGGGTGGACGAGGAAGGAGGAGGTTGAGAGAGGTGTCCAGGTAAAGGGGAAGGAAGAAGGAAATGGAAGAAAGGAGAAGGAGAAGAGAGAGAGAGAGAGAGAGAGAACGATTTAGAGGAGGTAGAGACAGAATGAGGACGAGTAGAGGGAGGGAGAGAGTATGGGGGGAGGAAGAGAGTGAGGGAAGAGGAAGAGGGAGAAGAGGAAGAGAGGGGACAAAGAGGAGGAGAGGGGAAGAGGAGGAGGAGGGGAAGAGGATAAGGAGGAGAAGGTATTTACATAACAGACATAGGTTAAGCGTTAGGGGTTAAAAGCCAGTTGAAGTAGGTTAGGTTAGGGTTAAAGAAGAAGAAGTTAGGTTAGTTAGGGTTACAAGAAGAAGCAGTTGTGCTAGCAAGCAGAAGTTAGAAGCGTTGAAGCTAGTTAGCGTAAGGCTAGGCTAGCGCTAGGTTGAAGCTTGTGTTTAGGGCAGTGCTGTGGGTTGTGTTGCTAGGGTTAGGCTAGGTTAGGTTAGGGTTAGGTGCTGAAGCATGCGAGTTTAAAGTTAGGTTAGATTTGAAGCGTGAAGGAAGCTAGCTTTTAAAGGAAAGAAGAAGAAGAAAGCTAGAAGCAGCAAAGAAGAAGAAGGTTAGTTAGGTTAGAAGAAGCGTTGTGTTGGGGATTAGCGTTAGTTAGGTTAAAGGTGCTTGAAATACCGTGCGTCTAACTTGGAGGGTTTACTCTTCAGGCACTTCACACACGCAGGCGGCCTGACCTATCACCTTTTTAATTAGTAACGAAGGTACCAATGGTTTAGTCATCAATCTAAAACAGCTCTATTGTCATGAGTCATGAGAGAGCAATAGCATGGTGACATCTGTGGCACGGGCAGCTCACGCGCGTGCTGACACACACGCGTCTATAGGTGGTGTCATGCTGTGGGATGGGGGGAGGATGGGGGGGGAGGATTGGGGAGAGGGAAAAGGAAGGGGAGGGAGAGGAAGGAGGGAGAGGGAGGGGGAGGAAGGGGAGGGAGAGGAAGGAGGAGAGAAGGGAGGGTGAGAGGAAGGGAGGGAGAGGAAGGAGGGAGAGGGAAGGAGGGAGAGAGAAGGGGAGGGAGAGGTGGGGAGAGGAAGGAGGGGAGAGGAGAGGGAGGAAGGAGGTGGGAGAGGAAGGAGAGAGAGGGAGGGGGAGAAGGGAGGAGAGAAGGGAGGAGAGGAAGGAGGGAGAGGAAGGAGGAGAGGAAGGGAGGGAGAGGAAGGGAGGGAGAGGAAGGGGAGGGAGAGAAGGGGAGGAGAGGAAGGGGAGGGAGAGGGGAAGGGGGAGGGAGAGGAAGGGGAGGGAGAGGAAGGGGGAGGGAGAGAAAGGGAGGAGAGGAAGGGGGAGGGAGAGGAGGGGAGGGAGAGGAAGGGGAGGGGAGAGAAGGGGAGGGAGAGGGAAGGGGAGGAGAGGAAGGGGAGGAGAGGAGGAGAGAGGAAAGGGGAGGGAGAGGAAGGGAGGGGAGAGGAAGGGAAGGGAGAGGAAGGGGGAGGGGAGAGGAAGGGGAGGGAGGGGAAGGGGAGAGGAGGAAGGGAGGGGGAGGAAGGGAGGGAGAGGAAGGGAGGGAGAGGAAGGGGGAGGAGAGGAAGGGGAGGGGGAGGAAGGGGAGGGGAGGAGGAAGGGAGGAAGAGGGGAAGGGGAGGGAGAGGGAAGGGGAGGAGGAGGTGAGGGGAGGGGGAGGGAAGGGGAGAGGAAGGGGAGGAGAGGAAGGGGAGGGGAGAGGAAGGGGAGGGAGAGGAAGGGGGAGGGAGAGGAAGGAGGGAGAGGAAGAGGAGGGAGAGGAAGGAGGGAGAGGAAGGGGAGGGAGAGGAAGGGGAGAGGAGGGGGGAGAGGAGGAGGGAGGAAGGAGGGAGAGGAAGGGGAGGGGAGAAGGGAGGGAGAGGAAGGAGGGGAGGGAAGGGGAGGAAAGAGGAAGGAGGAGGAAGGGGAGGAGAGGGAAGGGAGGAGAGGAAGGGTGGAGAGGAAGGGGAGGGAGAGGAGGAGGAGGTGGGGAGAGAGGAAGGGAGGGAGGAGAAGGGGAGGAAGGGAGAGGGGAGAAGTGGAGGGAGAGAAGGAGGAGAAGGGGAGAGGAAGGGAGGAGAGGAAGGGAGAGGAAGGGGAGGAGAGGAGGGGAGGGAAGGGGAGGGAGAGGAAGGGGAGGGGAGAGGAAGGAGGGAGAGGAAGGGGGGGAGAGGTGGGAGGGGGAGGAAGGGGAGGGGAGAGGAAGGGAAGGGAGGAAGGAGGAGGGGGGAGGGAGGAAGGGGAGGGGGAGGAAGGGGAGGGGAGAGGAAGGAGGGGAGAGGAGGAAGGGGAGGAGAGAAGTGGGGAGGGAGAGGAAGGGAGGGAGAAGGAGGAGAGGGAGGAGAGAAGGGAGGGAGAGGAAGGGAGGGAGAGGAAGGGGAGGAGAGGAGGAGGGAGAGAAGGGAGGGGAGAGGAAGGAGGAGAGGAGAGGGAGGAGGAGGGAGAGGAAGGGAGGGGGAGGGGAGGGGGGAGGGAGAGGGGGGGGGAGGAGGGAGGGGAGGGGGGGGGAGGAAGGGAGGAGAGGAAGGGAGGGAGAGGGAAGGGAGGGAGAGGAAGGGGAGGGGGAGGGGAAGGGGAGGAGGAGGAAGGAGAGAGGTGGGGAGGGAGAGGAAGGGAGGAGAGGAAGGGGAGGGAGAGGAAGGGGGAGGAGGGGAAGGGGAGGGAGAGGAAGGGGAGGGGAGAGGAAGGAGGGAGAGGAAGTGGAAGAGGAAGGGGGGAGGAAGGGGAGGGAGGGGGGGAAGGGGAGGGGAGAGGAAGGAGGGAGAGGAAGGGGAGGGAGAGGAAGGAGGGGAGGGGAAGGGAGGGAGGAAGGAGGGGAGGAAGGAGGAGAGGAAGGGGGGGAGAGGAAGGGGAGGAGAGGAAGGGAGGGAGAGGAAGGAGGGAGAGGAAGGGGAGGAGGAGGAAGGAGGGAGAGGGAAGGGGAGGGAGAGGAGGAGAGGAAGGGAGGGAGGAAGGGGGGAGGGAGGGAGGAGTGGAGAGAGGAAGGGGAGGGAGAGGAAGGGGAGAGGAAGGAGGGGGGGGGGGGGGGGGGCCATTAAAATTAAAAAAAATACCCAAATAAATGAGACTTTAAAACTCCCTTGCTTAATACTGCACACACACACACGCACACACACACACACACACACACACACACACACACATACACACACACACACACACACACACACACACACACACACACACAGTAGCTGAGAATCCTTGTTCAAACACGAATGACATGAACAAACAATTGGATTATTACAGGACAATCAAGAGTAAATTACACCCCTGACCTCTGGCTAAACAACTCCACCGGAACAAACATAACGCCTGGTGCTGCTGTTGCGGGGTAGTGATGTCATGTCAGCAGTAGTCATCGTCAAATTGCAGGTATTCAAGGCGTCGTCGTCATCAATGTAGGTATGTCGCGTCATCAATTGCAGGTATTCAAGGCGTCGTCGTCATCAGTTGTATTTAAGGCGTCGTCGTCATCAATTGCAGGTATTCGCGCGTCGTCGTCATCAATTGTAGGTATTTAAGGCGTCGTCGTCATCAATTGCAGGTATTCAAGGCGTCGTCGTCATCAATTGCAGGTATTGTCGTCTCATTCAAGGCGTCGCTGCTAAGTAGGTATTCAGCGTCGTCGTCATCAATTGCGTATGGGGTCATTCAGTATTGCGTCGTCGTCACAATTGCAGCTATTTAAGGCGTCGTCGTCAATTCAGGTATTTAAGGCGTCGTCGTCATCAATTGCAGCTATTTAAGGCGTCGTCGTCATCAATTGCAGCTATTTAAGGCGTCGTCGTCATCAATTGCAGCTATTTAAGGCGTCGTCGTCATCAATTGCAGGAATTCAAGGCGTCATCGTCATCAACAGTCTCAGGATGTTTACATGTAGTTACTCATACGGTAAAAGTGACCAATAATAACTGAGGTTTACCCTTTGTTTCGTTTCTAATTGGTTGTGATGGTGGTGGACATGGGGAGTTAGGGGTGTGGTGATTGTGGTGGAGAAGGATGGTGGTGATTGTGGTGGAGAGGATTGGGGATGGGTGGTAATTGTGATGGAGTAGACTAGGGATGGTGGTAATTTTAGTGGAGAGATGGGTGGTAATTGTGGTGGAGAAAGGTTGGGGATGGTGGTAATTGTGGTGGTGAAGAAGACTGGGAATGGTGGTAGAAATAGTAATGGTAATGACAGTGATAGTACTGGTGGTGATGAAATGGTACTGGTGATATAGTGACGATGGTAACAACACAATTATACACATTAACAAGGTCACCAGCCACACAGTACACCAAGGGCTCTACAGTACACCACTGAATCTTCCTCACACCCAAACAGTATCTAGACCCGTAAACCTGTATCAAATTAACCTGACACAAAGCATACATGGCGAGGACCTCAGAGGACCCCAGAATACCCTAGAGGACGCTAAAAGACCCCAGAGGACCTCACAGGACGCTAGAGAACCCCAGAGGACCCCAGAGGGACCCAAAGGACGCTAGAGGACCCCAGAAACTTTCAGGAGACGCTAGATAACCCCGAGGACCCCAACGAGACCCCAGAGTACCTCACAGGACCCCACACCCAAAGAACCCCACAGAACCCCAGAGAACCCAAACAGGACCCCAGAGTACCCTCACAGGACCCCACAGGACCCCAAAGAACTCCCAGAGGACCCCCAAAGAACCCTACAGGACCCCAGAGTACCCTCACAGGACCCCAAAGAACCCCAGAGGACCCCAAAGAACCCCCAGAGTACCCCACGAACCCAGAGAACCCCACAGGACCCCAAAGAACCCCCAGAGGACCCCAAAGAACCCCGAGAAGACCCCCACAGAACCCCATGGTGGGTATTCTCTATTCGCCTCTCCTGTTTTACACCCTACCTAAATGATTCAATAGTGCTTCATATAGGTCTCTGAAGCCTCGAAGTTTTTTATACACCTATTCTCCGGTTCATTTTACTTATTCGAAGCTTCAAAAGGGGATGTTAGTTGTTTCGTGATCTGTAGTGGTGAATGATGTTGCGGTCATTTGTGTGAGTATGGTTGTGGTGGTGGTGGTGATAGTGGTGGAGGGAAAATAATGGTAGTGGTGGTAGCATGGTGGTGGTAATAGTGGTGGTAGTAATAGGGGTCATAGTATTGGAGATGATGATAGTGATGATGAGGGTAGTGGTGAGGGATGGTGGTGATGGTACTGATGGTGATGGTAGTGGTCACGCCTACGGTATATATAAACAGCTCTTGTGCGTGTGACAAAACCATGACTCCCTGATCATTGTGAGGTGGCTGACCGGGCGTGGCACGTGTCAACAAGCACATCCATACACTCCATCATCAGTTTTTTCCCGATCGAACAGAGAAAAACTAATCCGTACGCGAGATGTTGTAGAGTATCAATACCTGGATAATTAATGACAACACGCGCTACCTACCTCACAATGTTGACTTAATCACTGATAATCACCCCGGCGGACAAAAGTGTAATTGCTCACATAAATGATGGTAAACACAAGAGCTAATTGAGGATTAACAGTGGGGTCTTATAGTTCATTTAGCGGACTATACAGAGATAAAAGTCCGCTATATCGAAGGTGTTATATGTAAAACCTCCTTATAACGGATTACATGGAGAGAAGTCAGTTATATGGAGGTTTTTCACTGTATTTTATTAGAGTCATGCGCTTAATGAGATCGTCCCCGGAGGAGTCGAACCCGATCTCATGTGTGGTGGCCCAGTGGCGAAGATCCTCCCTCCCTCCTCTCTTAACTAACCCCTCACCTCCCTCCCCTCTAACCAACCCTCACCTCCCCCTCTCTAACTAACCCTCACCTCCCTCCCTCTCTAACTAACCCCTCACCTCACCCCTCCCCTCTCTAACTAACCTCACCCCCTAACTAACCCCTCACCTCCTCTCTAACTCAACCCCCACCCTCCCTCCCTCTCTTAACCAACCCCTCACCCTCCCTCCCTCCACAACCAACACCTCACCCTCCTCTCTCATCCAACCTCACTCCCTCCTCACCACCTCACCTCCCTCCTCTAATCTCACCTCCCTCCCCATCCAACCCTCACCTCCCTCCTCTCTAACTAACCTCACCCTCCTCCCTATCCTCACCTCCTCCTCTCTAACTAACCTCACCCTCCCTCACTTAGACAACCCTTAGTCTTCCCTCACTTCTCACACGACCCTTAGGTAAAGAGGGACGTAATCTGACCTTGAGTTTGTGGTGTGTAAAGTGGCATGTGTGTGTGTGTGTGTGTGTGTGTGTGTGTGTGTGTGTGTGTGTGTGTGTGTATGTGTGTGTGTGTGTGTGTGTGTGTGTGTGTGTGTGTGTGTGTGTGTGTGTGTGTGTGTGTGTGTGTGTGTGTGTGTGTGTGTGTGTGTGTGTGTGTGTGTGTGTGTGTGTGTGTGTGTGTGTGTGTTACCTGACGTCGTTCCTTATGTGAATGTCAAGTGTGTATCAACAAATGACTTCAATGATCTTATACATCTCTGTGTTAGGTTAGGATAGGTTAGGTAGGTTAGCCAGGTTGTGGATAGGTCAGGTTAGTTAGGTCAGGTGTCGAGTTAGGTCAGGTGAGGTCAGGGTTAGGGTCAGGTGAGGCCTGTGTTAGGGCGAGGTGAGGTCAGGTTAGGTTAGGCTGTGTGATGTCAGGTTGTGTTTAGGTGAGTCAGTTAGGTTAGGTCAGGTGGAGGTCAGGTTAGGTTAGGTCAGGTGAGGTCAGGTTAGGTTAGGTCAGGTGAGGTCCAGGTTGGGTTAGGTCAGTTGAGGTTCAGGTTAGGTTAGGTCAGGTGAGGTCAGGTTAGGTTAGGTCAGGTGAGGTCAGGTTAGGTTAGGTCAGGTGAGGTCAGGTTAAGGTTAGGTCAGGTGAGTCAGGTTAGGTTAGGTCAGGTGAGGTCAGGTTAGGTTAGGTCAGGTGAGGTCAGGTTAGGTTAGGTCAGGTGAGGTCAGGTTAGGTTAGGTCAGGTGAGGTCAGGTTAGGTTAGGTCAGGTGAGGTCAGGTTAGGTTAGGTCAGGTGAGGTCAGGTTAGGTGAAAAATAATGTAAAATGAAGAGAATTATTATTATTATTATTATTATTATTATTATTATTATTATTATTATTATTATTATTATTATTATTATTATTATTATTATTGTTGTTGTTGTTGTTGTTGTTGTTGTTGCTGTTGTTGTTGTTGTTGTTATTGTTGTTGTTGTTGATGATGTTGTCGTTATTATTATTATTGTTATTGTTATTATCATCGCCATCATTATCCATAGTAAAATACATCATTCTTTTTGTTTCTATACGAAGACAGTCATTCATCTTCCTTTTTACGCACATGTATACAGTGTATGGACGTATCTGTGTGTACACTGTCCAGCCCCTGATATGACGTCACAGCGCGAGAACACAAGCATCTGCCGCTCCTCTACTTATGTATCGATGAGAGACTAGATGATAACTCTACGGTGTGTGTGTGTGTGTGTGTGTGTGTGTGTGTGTGTGTGTGTGTGTGTGTGTGTGTGTGTGTGTGTGTGTGTGTGTGTGTGTGTGTGTGTGTGTGTGTGTGTGTGTGTGTGTGTGTGTGATTTCTAAAACAACTATAGTATAATGAACAGCAATTACTGCAACAAACAAAGTGACATAACGACGACCAGTGCATGACCTGTTAGTTAGTTAGGTAGAGTAGATAGTAAGGTAGTTAGGTAGTTAGTTAGGTAGTTAGGTAGAGTAGATAGTTAGTTAGTGAGTCATTATGGACCCCTCACTTCAAGTATTCATGAGTGGTTGTGCTGACGGCCGGGTCTTTACGGGGCCTCATATCCGCTCTCAGAAAATTTGGTCATGGTAACTGAGGGTTAAAACACGACTTTTACCTGACAGTCGCCCACGCCCGCACGCCCACACGCACGCCCCTTGGTCGCACGTGCCGCGTGTCGTCGCCCCGTGTGGTCACGTGCCTGCCCCTTCCTGATGTATTATGGTTGTGTAGTTATCAGCTTGTTTATTGGCGTGCTGCTGGGGGTTGGGGGGGAGGTGGTGGTGGTGTTGTGGTGGTGATGGTGTTGTGGTGGTGTTGTGGTGGTGATTGTGGTGTTGTGGTGGTGATAGTGTTGTGGTGGTGATGGTGTTTGTGGTGGTGATAGTGTTGTGGTGGTGATGGTGTTGTGGTGGTGGTGGAAGTAGTGGTGGTGGTGTGTGTGGTGTTGTGGTGGTGATGGTGTTGTGGTGGTGGTGGAAGTAGTGGTGGTGTTGTGGTGGTGGTGGTGGTGTTGTGGTGGTAGGGGTGATGTGATGGTGTTGTGGTGGTTGTGGTGGTGTTGTGGTAGTGGTGGTGGTGTGGTGGTAGGTGATGGTGTTGTGGTGGTGTTGTGGTGGTGTTGTGGTAGTGGTGGTAGTGTTGTGGTGGTTGTGGTGGTGTTGTGGTAGTGGTGGTAGTGTTGTGGTGGTAGGGGTGATGGTGATGGTGTTGTGGTGTTGTGGTAGTGGTGGTAGTGTTGTGGTGTTGTGGTGGTGTTGTGGTGATTGGTACTGGTGTTATGTACAGTGTTAGGCTTTCTTCCTAACGGCACCTGAAAGTTGCAATCAACAAATAAACTTCAGAAAAACCCTGTTCCCCTAACAGGAGCTATGAAATACCTCCCTCCTCCGTTAACAGGAGCTATGAAAGACCTCTCCTCCGTTAACAGGAGCTATGAAAGACCTCCTCCTCCGTTAACAGGAGCTATGAAAGACCCTCCTCCTCCGTTAACAGGAGCTATGAAAGACCCTCCTCCTCCGTTAACTGGGGCTATGAAAGACCTCCTCCCCCTGTTAACAGAAGCTATGAAAAATTCCTCTCCCTCCCCCGTTAACAGGTTTAAAACAAGATCCTCCTCCACCGTTAAACAGGAACTTCCACCTCCTTCCACACCCTCCCCCAAACAACAAAACTTATAAAAACAGATATCCACCCTCTCGTCCCTCCCCATCCTCATTCCCACTCATCTATCTCCTCTCACTCACTAATCTCCTCTCACTCTAACTAATCTCCTATTTTCTTCACTCTCTCCTCCCAACACCACCCCATCCTCCACACAGGAGCCAGGGAGCTTAGTGGGGTAAAGGCCTCAACAAAGCGCTGACACGTCCCAGATCTACAGGAGAGAAGTTCACCATGCCCCCACCACTCCACCCCCTTCCATCACTCCCCATCACCTCCCCACTGCCCCCTGCCACTCACTACCCCTACCCTCCCCACTGCCGCCCTGGACCGATAAGTGGTCTTCGGTCACTCTTCAAAGACTGATAGTGACAATTGCGGGCAGCGTCATGTCTCTAAGCTTTTCAATGAGAGTGAAATTTTGTCTTACTCGGTTTCAGTTAAGAGTGAAGTGTGTGTGTGTGTGTGCTTGTGTTTGTGTGTGTGTGTGTGTGTGTGTGTGCGTGTGTGTTTCGTTATTATCATATACATCAACGACATCTATACAACCTTATCAAAAACACGCTCTTAAACTTGAAAAACAAACGAACGAACGAATGACTCAGTTAAGACACACACACACACACCTCCCCATAGCGTCCCATCAACGTATCCAGGTAATAATAATTAACAGTAAATTCTTCTATTAATAACCAACGCCCTATCTCTATATAATCGGTGCTATTAAGAGCTATTCATTGCTATTAAGAGCTTTTTTTTTTTACCTGACTGGTGGATGTCATTTAAGGGTGAGGGATTATCCTGTGTATCCATATATTTTGATTTTTGTAAAGGAAATAATTATAGTCTCTGGCTCGCTTACACACCATAGAAAATGAAGACGAAAGGGATAACTCATATAAAACTAAACCTCAAGGAATTACATGACAACTATCTTAAATTTCCTTTGTTATCTTTGTTTATATATTGGAAATAATGATAGATGATGATGATGATGATGATGATGATGATGATGATGATGATGATGATGATTCTTATTTTCTTTTTTTTAAGAGGTACCCCAAAAGGTGTCTAAAATGATGAGGTTGTATCGCTCCGCTGGCAACTCTGTCCAAGCCTGGGAGTTACGACACATGACACCTGAACCCCACCGTGAGGAAGGTGGGGGGGACGAGGTTGGGGAGGTTGTGGAGGTTGGAGAGGTAGTAGGGAGTGATGGGGAGGGGAGGAGGCACAGTGATAGGTGAGGAGGAAGGGGAGAAGAGGAGGTGGGGAGTGATGGGGAGGAAGAAGGGAGCATGAGGAGGAGGGGAAGGTGGGGGATGTAGGGAGGTTCACGTCTCCTTTCCCCACCCCACCCCACCCTGTCTCAGCCCCACCTCACCCCGTCCAGTCCCACCTCACCCCGTCTAGCCTCACCCCACCCCTGTCCAGCCCCCACCCCACCCGTCCAGCCCCACCCCACCCCCTGTCCAGGTCCCACCCCACCCTGCTCCAGTCCCACACCCCACCCTGTCTCAGCCCCACCACCCCTGTCCAGCCCCACCCTACACCTGTCCAGTCCCACCCCACCCCGTCCAGTCCCACCTCACCCCTGTCTAGCCCCACCTCACCCTGTCTAGCCCTCACCCCACCCCATACTGTCTATACCAAGTGTGAATTCTTTACAATATCAACGCATAGACAGACACTCGGTACAATACAGTGTTATAATTCCTGGTATTGGTCACCTACATCTACACCAACACCCCACATTAACTCCTCATATCCACACCAACATCCACACGCTACCCCAACATCCACACCAGCACCCACCTCTCTCTCAGTCCCAGATCTACTGACGGTCATGACACAGGCTCCGTCACTGGGCTGACCTCTTCACCAACATGATAGTAATCTGGTTGTCCGCCCGTGGTGTGTTGACCTGATGGAAAAATAGGCCATAATAATAATAATAATAAAATACTACTACTAATAATAATAATAATGACAATAATAATAGCAAAAATAATTGTAAAACCAATTTTAATAGTGGTATCAGTTAATAATTATAACACCCACAGGATTTTTAACATATTCAACATCATGGTATAAACAGAGCCTTTGTTTAACAGTTCTAAAGGACAGGAAGGCCTTCAGAACCTAACCTAACCTAACCTAACCTAACCTAACCTAACCTAACCTAACCTAACCTGACCTATGAAATACTCCTCTCGTCTTAATTTTTGTTTTTGTATCAGATCACAACAGGTTAAGATCTCGCCAGGCTGTGTATCAATCAATCAATCAATCAATCAGTCAGTCAATCAGTCAGTCAGTCAGCTACTCAATCAACCAGTCAGTCAGTCAGTCAATCAACCAACCAATCAACCAATCAGAGTACCGTCCTGATAACACGAGAAAAGCTAAAGACTAGGAGATGTGCGAGTTACTTCCTGTCGTTACTGAGATGTGTGAGGTACTTTCTGTCGTTACTGAGATGTGTGAGGTACTTCCTGTCGTCACTGAGATGTGTGTGGTACTTCCTGTCGTTACTGAGATGTGTGAGGTACTTCCTGTCGTTACTGAGATGTCTGAGGTACTTCCTGTCGTTACTGAGATGTGTGAGGTACTTCCTGTCGTTACTGAGATGTGTGTGGTACTTCCTGTCGTTACTGAGATGTGTGTGGTACTTCCTGTCGTTACTGAGATGTGTGAGGTACTTCCTGTCGTTACTGAGATGTGTGAGGTACTTCCTGTCGTCACTGAGATGTGTGAGGTACTTCCTGTCGTTACTGAGATGTGTGTGGTATTTCCTGTCGTTACTGAGATGTGTGTGGTACTTCCTGTCGTTACTGAGATGTGTGAGGTACTTCCTGTCGTTACTGAGATGTGTGTGGTACTTCCTGTCGTACTGAGATGTGTGTATTTCTGTCGTTACTGGAGTGTGTGGTACTTCCTGTCGTTACTGAGATGTGTGAGGTACTTCCTGTCGTTACTGAGATCCGTCGTTACTGATGTGTGGTACTTCCTGTCGTTACTGAGATGTGTGAGGTACTTCCTGTCGTTACTGAGATGTGTGGTACTTCCTGTCGTTACTGAGATGTGTGGAGGTACTTCCTGTCGTTACTGAGATGTGTGTACTTCCTGTCGTTACTGAGATGTGTGTGGTACTTCCTGTCGTTACTGAGATGTGTGTGGTACTTCCTGTCGTTACTGAGATGTGTGAGGTACTTCCTGTCGTTACCGAGATGTGTGAGGTGCTTCCTGTCGTCACTGAGATGTGTGTGGTACTTCCTGTCGTCACTGAGATGTGTGTGGTACTTCCTGTCGTCACTGAGATGTGTGTGGTACTTCCTGTCGTCACTGAGATGTGTGTGGTACTTCCTGTCGTTACTGAGATGTGTGAGGTACTTCCTGTCGTTACTGAGATGTTTGCCATACTGGACCAAATATGTCAAATAAAATGTTATACTATGATGTTAAAATATGTAGATAATAATATGTAAGAGGAAAATATCGCCCTTTTATTCCCATACGAAGTCATTATAATATCACCATGTGTTAATTAATTCACCTGTGTTTACCTGAATCTGTACTTGGAGTAATGGCTCTTGTGACGAACTTAAGATTTTTTGATAATAATAAACATGATTTAATTTGTGAGATATCATGGCTGGTGTGTGTGTGTGTGTGTGTGTGTGTGTGTGTGTGTGTGTCCGGCCACCAACGCGAAGTGAACCCGACTCTCTACTCTATTTTGACCATCTTTGACCAAACACACGTCACATACAAATTCACTAACACATCTTAATACATAGATCCCTCCGCCGTGCACTGATTCCCCTTCCCCTCCCCATTTCAGGTATAAATTGTGTTTTTTTTATGAAGATGTAAAGTTTAGGTACATAATTCGTCAAAATACATAGTATATTGAGCTTATCGACGAGGAGGTTCGGTAGTGACGATGAGAACCCGCCCACCTGTCATGGAGTCTTCGTTCCTTTCCCTAATGACTTCGGCTTCGACCTCACCTGCCAGGAATCTCTTGCTTTACTCCAGGAGACGATGGATCAATAACTAACTCCTCGCGGCCATTTTTATCAGTATTTTCACACTTATTTCTTTTCTCTCCCAGATATTGTAGTTGATAGTTAGTGGTATTAATGTCAATAAGGTAACGAAAAGTCTTGACAGCAGTTTCGACGACGAAGATCAATAATAACCTCGACGTATCTTCTTAAAGCACCCGCCTCCAGTCGTCAAGCCTTCACGTGATTGGCTAACGCTTTTCCGGGCGACTCGCTGATTGGTGGACGGGGTGAGTTGCGCGGTAAGGCTCCTTGTTCTGTACGTGGCGGCTAATTACTGTGTCTTCACATGTTTGCAACCTCTGACCTGTGTGCGGCAGCAGGTTATATACCACATTACTCTAATTAATAATTTCCGGTAGTGCCACTGTTTACTCTGACATCTTGGGAAATGGGGAGAAATTTCTATCTCCCGCGGCAAACAGTGAAGCGATACGACTAAGAATGTTATCCAATGGCCACCAGTGTCTTGTCATCGACGTTTGTAGGTTCATCATGTAAGCAGTCCCTACGATGCTTATCTGAGAGCACACAACACACTACCAAGCTCCTTGATTTGCATGATCCACTACTATTTGTCGTGTGAGATTTCCTTTCTTGGTGTTTGGTGTGATGGTGTTGAACTATCTACCATTTTGTTCTGATTCAGTGTCAAGTTACTACAAGGTTCTGTTTACTATACCTATCGTGGTGTAGCCGCAGACACACCCGTCAACAAATGTGTCCTGGAAAAAAAAAAAAACCCTACGTAAAGGTATTTGCTGAAACATCCATAAGTTTAGAAAAAAAAAAAAGATTGAGTGTGTCGGGAACTCAATTGATGTAAGCATGCACTTAAATAGACACTTATGCATGTAGGTGTGACGACAAATTCTAGAAATCATTACATGTGTGTGTGTGTGTGTGTGTGTGTTTGTGGAGGTGAGGATCAATTCTAGGTGTTTATTTATAATCAGTGTTGGACAGATATATCAGGACTTACTGTAGGGTTAAAAAAAAAAAGGTACTCGAAGCTGTCACCAGAGAGTGTGTGTACTAACAAGACGGTAGAGTAGATGTACACAGGGAAAGGTTGATGTACTAAGAATGTAACACAAATGAGTACATGTTATTATGACAGAGTAACAAGTTGAGAAGAAAAAAACTCGTCAACTTATGAACACTGCTGCGGCTGCTGTTGGAGAAAGGAGACCATTTTTAAGCTGAGAGCGAGATAACTGCAGGAGAGACCAACAACATCAAGCTAAGAGGGAGTTAGCTGCTGGAGAGACCAACATCTTCAAGCTAAGAGGGAGTTAGCTGCTAGAAACCAACACCTTCAAGCTAAGAGGGAGTTAGCTGCTGGAGAGACCAACATCTTCAAGCTAAGAGGGAGTTAGCTGCTAGAGACCAACACCTTCAAGCTAAGAGGGAGTTAGCTGCTGGAGAGACCAACATCTTCAAGCTAAGAGGGAGTTAGCTGCTAGAGACCAACACCTTCCAGCTAAGAGGGAATTAGCTGCTGGAGAGACCAACACCTTCAAGCTATAAGAGGGAGTTAGCTGCTGTGGGACCCATCTTTAAACAGTATCGGAGCTAAGACACACAACCACAGCAGCTGGTAACCTTCCACAGCAACTAAGGTAAGGCTTGATATACTCAATACTACTACTATTACTTGACATATACCTCAATATATCACTAACTATACTATATTATTACTATACACAACAACTTATCACACAAGAGTTTATTTCAATTTTATTTATGTTTTTTAAGACTAAAGGACATATTATGGGAAGTTTATTCAAGAATTTAACTCGTAAAAAATAAATAAAAACACATCACTTTCTCCTTAATATAACAACAACAACAACAACAACAACAACAACAACAACAACAACAATAATAGTAAAAATAATAATAATAATAATAATAATAATAATAATAATAATAATAATAATAATAGTAAAAATAATAATAATAATAATAATAATAATAATAATAATAATAATAATAGTAAAAATAATAATAATATTAATAATAATAATAATAATAATAATAATAATAATAATAATAATAATAATTCAGTAAAATTGTCATACGGATTTACAGTTAGACAGGCATATGTATGTAGACTAAGCATGTATACATAGACCGTGCAGGTATACATAATATAACAATGATAAACAGTGAAGCAATTTAATCAAGGTTATGTTAGGTTATTTTGGATAGATTATTACTTACCTCATTGATTAGGTTAGGTTAGGTTAGGTTATTTGGTTAGTTTGAATGGGTTAAATATGCTTCATTTGGTTGCTTAGGTTAAACTGTACAAAATCATACTTTATATAATACTCTATGTACTTCAATGTACTTATAAGACCTTATCAATGAGGCTTCTACTTGTACTTATAAAGAGGCAATAACACATGTACAGCTTTTCTTCGTGTTAAGTAAGTAAGTGTGTGTGTATGGGAGTGTAGGCAGGTGTCACTTTACCTGTCTGAACTCATTAGTATACTCCTGAGGTAACTACAGGTATAATGTATAGAGTAGTACACACACACACACACATACGGAATTTTCCATATCACTAATACTGTCATTGTCCCATTCTTACAGGTGATCAGGGCAGTAATTAGTACCTGTACCGAAGCTATCAAGAACGTCCCAGGTAAATCTAATTGGAATTACAACAACAAACAGGTGTGAAAAAAGATCCCTCTCCCCCCCTCCTTCAGCTAAAACTACCAGAATACTGTTTATAACATGAAAGCTAAAGTAATAAACAGAGAAGCTAAATGGAGACAAGAACTATTCGACTGCTAAAGGTCCAATAAGTGAAGAAATGCCGTAGTTACTTAAGGAATTTCGGCTTTACGTACATGATTTAGCTGTACCGCAGTTTAGTAATGGAATCGCTGCAGCTAAATGGTTTACTTACAATTAATTCAGCTAAAATTAAAAACAGTATTAGCGGTAGGAAGAACAGCTTAAGTTAGGTCAGCTTGGGTTAGGGTGGGTTGCATTAGGTTAGGTTAGGTAAGGTCAAGTTAGGTGATGGTTTTTAACATTGTAACAACCAGGTGATGGCTATTAGCACCGTGATCACCTGATGTTTCTTAATAACCTTCAATATGTCATATATTATCTAACAGACGCTATTGTATACCTACCTATCAATAACATCTTATCTCTTTTAATTACAGGGCAAATAACACAAGGGTAATATCTCATCCATAATATACATTTTTTCCTCCTACTGACCAGGTGTGATAATTTCCCCTTGTGTTATTGTCTGCCTTTACGAGGATGATTCACCATAGAAACATCTCCCTTCATATCACCACCGCAGCATCTGGTCGCACCTCAAGGAACAAGAAGATCAACACCATAAATTAGTACTTTGTAATGTGCTACTAACAAAAACCCAAAAGGAATATTAAACTTTTTTCCAGATTATGTAAAATAGCAATATGGTGGGACTTGTAGTTTAATAAGATTCAAGAAAGATAATATATGTGGATTGATTGACTTTGACGACTGTGGATACGAGCGGTGTAGTGGAGCAGACGAATAGTCATTTAAAACGTTGAAAAGAGCATTTGGTCGATAAGTGTAGCCAGACTATACGATCTTTCTTACATAATACACTAAAATAATTAAACTACTGTGTGAATAATAATAATAATAATAATAATAATAATAATAATAACAGTGAATCAACTAAAAGGAAAATTAGTACATAGTTTATTTATACAAAACTTTACGTCAATATAAAAAGAAAAATTAAACACCACATTAGAAATTTGTGATATTTATAAAGTGAAAAAACTATTGAAAAAACTGTGATACGATAAAGAACATTGAAAAAAAAATTGACCAGAAGCGAATAGTGTAAACAAAAAAAGGTTTCTGTGATGTAAACAATAGACGCTGGAGAGTAAACCAACAAAAGAAAACATAAACAATAATAATGAAAACAAAGAAGTGAAAGAAAAACTAAAATCGATTGAAAAAAAGAGAATAACGTGTTAGAGAAAGAGACAAAGAGAGAGAGAAAGAGAGATAGAGATAGAGAAAGAGAGAGAGAGAGGCCGGCAAGATGTACAGTATGGATGGGTTCGACATGGAGGCTCTCAATAGGCAGTTCTTCGAGTCAGCTGCCTTCAGTGAGTTCCAGGCAGGAGTGGTGTTTGAGCCAGGCAGCGGTGGTTCCTCTCCAGCACACCTCGACCAGGAAAACACGGTGAGTGAGGGGGTGAGTGGGATGAGTGGGATGAGTGGTGAGTGGTAAGGATTATCACTTATTGAGGTTCCTGGAGGTGATACAGTACCAGTTATCACCACCACCACCACTATCACCACCATCATCACCACCACCTGACTCGTATTTTGGGTGATATTTGTATTGATTGTGACACCAAGAACCACCTCACGTCACACCTTCTCTGAATGGGGGAGGAGGGGGGGGGGTATAATTGATGACACGAATCGACGTTTTATCATCAACACCTGCCTGCGTAATCAATGGTTGTGGTCATCATCAACTAGAGAGGCAGCAGGGGTCAGGCGTCGTGTAGGTTAGGGGTGTGGGTGGTAGAGGAGGGAAGGAAAGAACACAGACATAGAATAGGTAAGTGTAAGTGGTACTATTTACACAGGGAATGTTTTTACACTATCTGGGAGGATAATGTAAATTCAGGGTTTGTTTACAATAAGTCTGAGAGAACAGTATTATGTATATATGTGGCTGTATATACTGAGATTAGCATAACTATGTATACTAAGAATGTATCCCGAGTCTGTAAGATTAGGCTAGTATTATGAGTAGAATCTTACACTGAACGGCTAAAAAAAAAAAAGGAGAGATTTACTCGTATGTATACTGACTACACTTATACTGTAGATAATACTGAGACTATTTACACTGAGTTTGTATGTGGCGGTATATGACTCTCTCTCTTTCTGCTTCAAGTACCTGATGTTCGAACCTGACAGCGGTGGATCGTCGCCTTCACACAACGACCAAGAAAATACGGTGAGGATCTAAATAAGACCTGTCAGTCCATCCTGTTTATTGCTGGCTGTCTATAGGGCTGTCTGTACCACCATCCTGCTGCTTATCTTTGGCTCTCTGTTGTCGTTAGTCTGTCTGTTAATTAGTGTTTTGTAGTTTCCTCCTACCTTCCAACTCCCCGGCTCTTCTATACCAAGTCAAGAGTTTTTTCCTTTTTATTCCAGTTCTTCTTGTTTAGTGGAGTTTGTGGGCCAGATTATTTGCTCTATGGCAGTGGCTAGTTTTTGTTTATAGGGGATACAGGTACTTCTGTTTACCTCATCTTGAATATTCCTCCTTCCCTTAATCCATCTGCATCCTTGTATACTTTTATTGTCTTTATTTACGAAATCTAATCTATGTTACACGCAGATTCAAGTTTCTAGATGATGTATGAAGCCTTTTATAGACATTTTATCGGTTTGGGGTTTGTTGATAAGGAATTGAGACAGTGCCGGGTTATGTGGTTTTCTCTCTTCGTTATCTGAGATTCGTAACTTCCCCCCGTACCCCCCCTCCCCTCCCCTCCAGGTGCTGCGCAGGAAGAAGAAGCGGCGGTGTTTAATGGCCCAGATGCAACAGCGTCAGGCGGCTAACATGCGCGAGAGGAAACGTATGCAGAGTATCAACGACGCATTCGAAGGCCTACGTGCCCACATCCCAACACTGCCGTATGAGAAGCGGCTCTCCAAGGTGTGTGTCCAAGCTGCAACATCTTGACAGTGTAATAGAATGAAAAACATCTTGATATTGACCCTTCCTTCCCTCCCTCCCTCCCAGTAACAAAATATCGGTGACCCTCTCCCTTCGCACCCCCCCCCCCCTTCCCATCCTCCACTTGTAAGGGATGGATGATTCTCCCTCTTCCTTCCTCAGTACTCAAATGTGATTCTCCTTCACCTTTAAGTAATCAAATAAGTTCCCCCTACATACTCAGGTGTACTTTCCTTCCTCCCCCTCACAGGTAGACACACTACGTCTGGCCATCGGCTATATCAGCTTCCTGGCAGAGTTGGTGGCGAGTGACCGCGCCCCGGACCCTCACCTCCACCCACCTAACCACAACGATACCAACAGGAAGGTCATCGTTAGGAGCTCCAGGAGTGAGTCTTCAAGCAGATCTCTATTGCGGTGAAGGGGAGAGGGAGGTTTGAGGAGGATGAAGAGGAAGGTAGGGAAGGGGGAGTAAAGACTGTGAGAGAGAGGAGGAGGGAAAGAGGAGAAGTCTTTAAGAGCTTTTCCTTACTTTATGATTTATATCTTAAAATAATGAATCTTTATCAGGGGAGATAACTTATTTTTTTAGACGTCCAGATAAGAGATGAAAAAAAAGAGTAGAGGAATGGGTCTTGATATGGGACGAGGGAGAGAGGCACCTCAATGAAGTCTTAGAACTAGTCTTAATATGGAATAGTGATTGTCAATAAGGAGTCTTTGTCTAGGGAGAGAAGAAGGGAAAGATCTTTAAGCTCTTAGAGTCAAATCATCTTTAAATTCTCAGTATAATAGACCTTACCTACAGTGATCATATGAATGTTTCTTTAATAACACTATGACTATTTATCAGTTAAATTCAACCAATAGGAATGAGTTTGGTTTAATACAAGTGTTCCTAATGGTCATAAGTAGCTCCTTGATTCGTAATATTTCTGTCTTAGTAAAATTATCTTAGTTATCTGTTATTTTTTTAGGTTATATTATCAGATACATCAAAGATTTTCCCTTCCACTAACTCTCCCTCCCGTTTCTCCCTTCCAATAACTTTCCCTCCAACTCTCCCTTCCATATTCTCCCCTCCCACTAACTCTCTCCCTCTCTGTCACTATCCCTCTCCCTAACTCTCCTTTTTACTTCCTATTCTCCCTCTCCCTCCCTCTCACTAACTCTCCCTCTCACTCCCTCTTACTAACTCTACTTCTCCCTCCCTCTCCCTCCCTCTCACTAACTCTCCCTCTTACTAACTCTCCCTCTCACTAACTCTACCTCTCCCTCCCTCTCCCTCCCTCTCACTAACTCTCCCTCTCACTCCCTCTCCCAGTGAGCGTGGACAGTGTACCCCACTCTCTCACCTGGTCGTATGTTCGCCCTAACGTCATTAACGGGAAAGTTACCGCCAAGACCTGGGTGCCTGAACAACAGAAGCGCCAGTGAACACCTGTTGAACAGTCGCTGTATACCTGTGAACACCTACTGAGCACCTTTGAACAGTTGCTGAATACCTGTGAACATCTGTTGAACGTGTGTGACCAGTCGATGAACACGTGTGAACAGCCGCTGAACACCAGATGAACACCTGGGTCGTCGAACAACAGATGTTACAGTGAACACGGGTTAACATCCATTGAACATCTAGTGAACTATATGTGATGACGTGTGGATAGCCAGTGAACGTATGTGAACACTTGTAGGCACACACATATATACTCATGAACACCTGGTGAACACACGCTGAACATGTGTGAACATCGAGTCAATACGGGTGAACAGTCGGTGAATACGAGTCAGTGGTCAGACAACACGTGTGAACAACCTGAGCATATATGTTCAAGTGAAGTAAACTAATATTGAACACATATGAACAAACAATAAACACAAATGTGAACATATAACGAAAAAACTTTATCACCTTTGAAAACATAAAAAAAAGTTCAAGAACACGTATGAAAACCAATGGAATTATATGAACAGCTCATGAACACGTTACGAAAAGTTCCAAACATCTGTAAACACGTGAAATAATATCAATAACTAATGAACAAACGTGAACGTATGTGTGAATGGCTGGTGAACTCATATGAGCATCAAACGTAAAAAAAAAAAAACATGCACATCCACTCAACTCACACGTGAATAACCATTGAACTCTTATGAACAAGTGGATGAGATATTTCTAACCCACAGTAAAGGAGAAGAGAAAAAAACACTTCCGTATCTTTATGAATCTAGATCACATTCGATAATACCACTATCTAAAGAAGAAAAACTACAACAAACGTTTAAATGTTCAAGTGATAATCAAATGCACCTCTTCAAACTAACCTTTTCAATTTACAATATATTTTTAATTGCAATATTGACTGGAAGAAGGAACATATTAACGCTTCCTGTTCGAACATTAGAAAAATAATGTATGTTTCCCTCTTCATACACTAGAAAAAATTACGTGTATGTTTTTTCACTTTATTTCTTCTATATATGGAATCTACCGTAAGAGAATTGGATTGTCAAAAGATTTTAGATTCAGCCTACTGCGCGTCACTGGGCGGTGCGCGCAGGAAAAAGCCATACCGGTCAAACCAAAAGACAAATAATATACGCTTATTCTACCAAAGATTAATGCTACTGGCGGTTCAACTGTACTCTACTGTATTTTGAAACTATGGTAAAAAAAAAATATAGTTTATTTGTGGTCACCTCTGTTGTTGTAAAAAGAAAAATGCTAATCCTGATATACAAATTCTTTTCTAATTGGGTAAAATTTGGCTCTTGGTAATAAGTTTTATCCAATTATGACTTAATGATTTTATTTGTTTACACTTGAGATTAACGATTATTGGTTGACTTATCAAAGCGCTCGACCAGTCACGAGCTCCTGATATCACTTTAAGGAGTCAAATAGACTTTCCTGTTCGTGGTAAATATTATAAAAAAAAATTCACCAGAACACAACCGTAATTTTGATAATCTTTCATTAAACTTTCACATAATTAAAATATCTATCATTAGCTGTACTAATATCAGGAACATTGCCTCGAACTTAACTAAACTTTAAGTTCTGTAAAAAAAAAAATACTTAATGTAAACACTGTGTTAAGCTTTTGTAGTGACCTGCGACCTGACCGTCTCTAGTTGACATAAAGGAGTGCCACTGCTAACAGACGCCTGGCGAACGTCCGTGTGGCGTAGCCCTCGTAAAATATAGCATTGTGGAGTGAAGGGGAACTCAAGACGCTGTTGGCACCTTAAATGGCGCTAAACTACCAAAAGAAGAGAATGAATGTGATATTGATACACACACGTCTACACTAAATGGCTCGTGTACATAACATCACGGTGGCCATGTTGTATGACGTCAGTGCATCAGCTGATATGTTACATGACGTCAGTGCATCAACAGACATATTGTAAGACGTCAGTGCAATAACAGACATACTATGACGTCACCACATCAGCAGACATCCTGTATGACATCACCACATCAGCTGAGGTGTTGTGTTGTGACATCAGATCATCAAGAAAGTGAGACATGACTTCAGTGAGGAGGTATATAGAGTGAAGTAGGTGACGGGAGGAGCAGGTGGTAGGGGGAGGTACTGTAGTGTACATACTGTGATATATGTCTGATGTCGTCCACGTGCAATACACACTTATCATGTTTATTACGTGTTTTTATCTCACCTTTATCCAGTCAGTCAGTAAGAAATTCCTCCCCTGTTTAGTGGTTACCTGACTAATGGCGTATCTGAGTTTAGCTAAGTGACTCTCATTTCTACATCAACAACATAGGTATACTTTTGTCTTTCTCACTCTGCTACACCTACAACACAGGTACACACATAGGTCTCTCTCGAACTCCAGTGCACAAACGCATTACCAACAACTGATTTGCATAGAGGATCAAAACCACTAACGTTGCCTCGCTGATCCGCTGAAATACTCTTAGATTAAATGGACTCCGCATCGAAAATTCAATCCCTTGATCCGTTCATTCATATCGGTGCACTTATCGCTAGAGTATAACAAAAGAGAATCAAAATATATAGACACCTAAACCTGCACTTATCACAAGAGCAAAACAAAAGAGAATCAAAATATATAGACACCTAAACCTGTACTTATCGTCAGAGCAAAACAAAATAGAATCTAAATATATAGACACCTAAACCTGCACTTATCACAAGAGCAAAACAAAAGAGAATCAAAATATATAGACACCTAAACCTGTACTTATCGTCAGAGCAAAACAAAAGAGAACCAAAATATATAGACACCTAAACCTATATATTTTCCTCTAGCTTCGCCTATGGATAAATATTGGTGAAACTGTATAACATGACTTATGTGGATCGGCCGCTTTCTTTTGCTGTCTGACGGAGAAAAAAAATGGATAAACAGAGAGACAAGCAGCTTACGTTCTAACATATTCATTATAAGATACACATCAAGGGTGAATGATAGACTCTGTGCATAATAGTTGTGAAATATGATGGAGAATACGAGGAAAAAATAATTATCATCCCCAATAGGTTTCGTAACTTAAAAAAATAAAAACAAAATCAAAATTCTCAGGATAGACTTGAAAAAAATATATATTGCTCTACATAACCAAAATAATGTATAATAAACACTACATGTAAAGCTTAAGCAATGAATCCAAAATGCACTGTAGCTGTAGAATTTCTGAATTTGGAGAAGAAATCGACCAAAATTTCCATTCACCCATTATAAATATTTTTCCTAGTTAAATACTAAAAAAATATACTCAGAAATGGCAAAAAATATATAAGAATTGTGAACATCCTGGGTATATAATGTGATATATAATTATAGTAGATATATAACGTTCGTATAACAAGTTAAATGGTAGTTAGACCTATGTGTTATGGAGAAATTGGAGTGAAAATGAAACTAAAATGAAAAATTGTACATGTTGATAAAAGGGAAAGAACATGCAATTAACCCTAAAATAAATGCAAGGAAATGACAGAAAATTTATAATAACAGAGCGAAGAATAAATACGATAAGAGAAATTAGGAGAATAATGGAAACAGAAGAAAATTAATAAGAAATGAAATCTTCAACATACTGTATAAGAAAACAGACTTAAGAACTAAATATTCCTTCAAAATAACACAGAAGAGACGACCGCTATGTTGACGACACTTATCAGACACACGTCATCATGTTTCAGCGTTGAGGATGGATCATAAAAAAAAAGAAATAACGAGAGAAAACACCAAACTAACACAAACATTCTACTCCTTAAATAAACACACGATTAATATTCATCTGAACAAGGTCTCGGGGGAAGGTTTACAAAAGTACTATTCCGCTTCCATCCATCTATTCATTCAACCATCCATCAAAAAAAACGATCTACTGTTGGAACGAGGATAAAACATATCCCTGGAGAGAGCTTTTTGGAAATATCCTCTTAACAATTGCGGAAAACTAGGGATTCATGAGTTATAAGAGAGATTTTGCGTGTATCGGCAACCGTGGGTGGGCGGTGGGAATCGTCAGCTGACCCGTGAGACCCACCTCAGCCGCGCGCCTAAATCCAAAAGCGCAGGAAATTGGGAAACGAGGAAGGACTGGAGTTTCTTAATACAAGGTACCTCCTATATTTTGTGATCTTCTATAAAATCTAAAATTCCGAATAAAATAAATTAACCAAAACGGCTAAATTTATCCGTGGGTGAATATATTTTTTTCGGCGTTACGGATAAATTAAGAATAAATATATAAATAGGGTATAGCAAGTTAATTATTTGTTTACAGTAATTAAGAGATGAGTGTGAAGATATATTAATTAAGATAAGAAAATTATTAAATATTGTTACTTCGTGTGTGTATTTTGTCTAGGTTTTTGTGGAAATTTGCTTTAACCTGTAAAATATTATTGGAGTTTTGCTTTAGCTCTCACTATATCACCCGTATGTCATTCATCATCCGTTATTCTTCATATTATTCATCCGTTATTCATCACCAGTTATTTTCCACCCATTTATCACTTATTTTACGCTCAATTATGTCATTATTTTCTCCTCCTTTCTTTGTCCTCTCCTTTATCTTCCTTCTCTTGTCATTCTAAATTATCTTCCACTTGTTCTTTACCTGTTTATCTTATCTACCCCTAACCTCTTCTTCTCTTCCTCCCTGTCTCCATCTCCTCACATTCTGTTATCTCCCTTTCTCTTCTTCCTACTTCTTTCCTTCTCCTCCTCCTCCTCTTCGTCCTCTCGCATCTTCCCTCTATCTCTCCTCTTCTCTATTTCTACCTTTCTCTTATCATCTCACACTATTGCACCCCCTCTTCCTCTTCCCCTTCTATTTGTCATTCTCTTTTCTCCCCCTTTTCCGACATCTTTAATCTGTCCCTCTCCCTCTTCCTCCTCTCTATACTGGTGCTTTCCTCCCCTCTTTATTCTCCCTTCTCCTTATGCCTCCCTCCTCACCTCTATCTTTCTCCCTTCCTTCTCTCCCTCCTCTCTCTACGTCCCTTTATTCCTTTTCCTTCACTCTCTCCTATCCTCCTTCTTCCCCCACCCAATCCTTCTATCCTCTTTCGTCCCTCCATGTCTCTATCTCTCTCATTTCTCTCAGTAGTGTAGAGAGAGGCAGGGGCGTCTCTCCAGCTTCGTGGTGGTCGTGTGTGTCCTTTCATCCACTGTGGACGTTTATTATTGTGTATGTGTGTAGGGGGAGTATGTGTGTATGTGGGGAATATGCAGTACAGGTAAATATGTAGGGTGTGTGTGTGTGTAAATATGCAGTACAGGTAAATATGTAGGGTGTGTGTGTGTGTGTATGTTTGTATTGGCATGTATGTATGTATGTGGAGAGGTGTGTATACGTTTTTAGGTATAGGTGTGTGTTTGGAGAGAGTTGTGTGTATGAGTGGAAGGGAGTGTGTGTGTGTGTGTGTGTGCTGGGGAGAGTGTGGGAAGAGGCAGGTGTTGTGCGGGGAGCGGGAGGACTATCGGCCGGCGGCGGCGACGGTGGGTGCTAGCTGCTGGGTCCACTGAGCTTACACACACACATAGAGCACCATAACACGTTCGTTCCACCGTTCGTACTCGTGTCCTTTACCCCTTCCTCCCCAAGTTCATAACCCCAGGTCCTTAAAACACGCCCGTTCTTTGTCCATCTTCAAATTCCAACTACCGTCCCCGTCAGTAGTGAACACAATTTTATAATAGAACGTTCATTGCGGCATTATTGAACCTTCAGCGTGGTACTTATAGAACGTTCAATTTAGCCCCATAGAACGTTCATCGTGGCACTGTAGAATATTCATTGTGGCATTATAAAACGGCCAGTGATGCCATACAACGTTTACTGTGGCACTATTAACTATTCAAGTGTGGCACCTTCAACAGGATTTCCGACACACACACACAAAAAAAATAACCCACCCCTTCGTCTCCCTACTTAACTATTTATAAAATGGTACTTCAACATGACTTCCACTCAGATTTGAGCTGCAATCATGTGCAAAATTTATAACATAATTGAGATCGATTTTCAGTCACTATAGCGAGAGTTAAGCTTGTGTTTATCGACGTACCGGTACGCTGGAAGACAAAGAGTAAAACGATGTCGAAATTTTGGCTACATCAATATCATGACTGACAGATAATTACGTAATGACGAATAAATACAAAAAAATAATCTCTCACGCATATAAACAGACTAATAATACTCACACATGCAAATTCGTATATACTTGTCTATAAACACACTACAGAAATACTCGCTCAAGCTAAATCGTACTCAAACACATATCAACACACCAATGACACACGTCCATGCAAATTCTTACTTACAGACACACATTTCATACTAAAAGATACATCCTCAGACTGATTCTCCCAGTAAGCCAAACAACTCATCGCATGTAATGACAGTCGAACAAAAAGATTCTATTTTTATTCTCGCTGATAGAGGGGTCGCGTGAGCACAGAAGTCGGTGACGTGTAAATCTATCGAGCCATGTAAGTGACAGCAACATAAACTACTACTACTAAGATACTACCAATAAAATAATAATTAAATAATAATAATAATAATAGGTTTGTATCTTACAGTTGGGCACCTACCCCTGTACATTGAATCGCAAATAACAATATACAGAACTCAGCAATGTTAAAGGAGTTAAGACAAACGTAAAAATAAACCAATACAATACTTTATATATCAAAAAGGAAAAAATGACATCCATATAGCACGAGAAAAAGAATCTAACTGTTCAGTTTTAGTGTAAGACATTGACCACGACTAACCTCCACATTTTTTTAAACAAGAGAGATGTATGTAATTTTTTATTATCTTATAGGAGTTAAAGACACACAAACGCCTAGCCTGAGAGTAATTGATCTTATTATGATACCACAATTGAACTAAGGTACAGTACGTGAAACTTGATACAACGATACATTCCATGAGCAATGAGATGAATATTTTTGGTAATTGTGGATTTTTATCATTTACAGGGACGAGGATTACCAAAAAATTAAAAACAAAATATGCTATAACCTGAGCGAAGCCATGTGGAACTGAATGACGTAAATAAACATTTTCAATTCGTTTGTGAATGTTGGTCTATTTTATAACTTATTTTGGGAGGAGGAGAAGAGTTAATATCCGTAATCAGTA